AAAAGATGTTTTTGCTCTTCTCCCGACTGGTTTCGGCAAGAGTTTGATCTATCAGTTGACTTGTGCCTGGCTTGTGGTTGTGTTTTCCTCGTCGCTCTGTTAGTACGTCATATGCTTTGTTGATCTAATTGGTTTATTTGGCCTGTCTATCACCAACATAGGCCAATCATCTAACCAGTATTTTCGCCCCTTCCCAAAATTACTTCAACGGAAGGTTTCCAGATGGATATGCGGAGCAAATCCATCTGGCGAATCAGGTTACCCTTTCTATGCATTAACCCTGACAGTAACCTTGAACCAAACCATTACCAGTGCATACTTTACTCTAACCCCAACCCAATTCAGACTGTAGCTCTAAATTTAACAATTATAAAACTAGCTCATGAGGTCTAGGCAAACTTTTCTCACTTTGTAAAAATGTCCTCACTCCAAAGATGAGGATACAAACTGAAACTGGTCCTCACTCTTTATTTTAAAACAGGAGCACACACCCACACACACACACACACACACAGATGATGAAGGTCAAACTGGCACTACCACCTTCTTAAATAGCATGTAGGGTTACAGTTTTCAAAAAAAACATCAAAACCATCATTTAAAAAAAGGTAAAGAGACCATTTAATAGTGATCAACAGTCGGTTTATTAATGTTTGATTCATTTACAAACTGCATCTAAGCCAGAAAAAAGTAAACAGATAATTTAATAAGGTATTAACTCCAGGGTAAGACAGACACTATAGACAATATAAATCAGTAAGATTAGAGTTAGACAAGGAGCTCACTGATATTAGGGTGAGGGATAAACTGTCAAAACAGTGCAATATGATCTATTTAACTTTTACAATTGATTTAGATGCATTTTATACATGACAATGAAACATGATAAATTACCTGTTAATCATCAATAAATGGTCTCTTTACCATTTATTAATAATGGTTATGATGTTTATTGTAACGTCTTATCCTCCATGAGGTTGGTTTTGCTTATATGTCCTGTCATGCAAAGGTTTCTGGGATACTATGTAGCTCTAGTAGCGGCTAGGGAATTCAGGAGGTCCCTAAATGAACTGCTTCCTTGTCCTGGTGTAAACTTCTACTTTTGAAAACAGGCATAAAAACCTTTTCATCTTTCTGTATTATAAACCCAGCAGATTTCAACAGCTCTGTTGCCTAAAGTCTATCCCACCAGAACCACCTATTGTATCATTGATGGTTATTTACCTATTTAGAAAATGTAACTCTTGTTAGACAGAATGAACTAGGTTTTCTTGTAAAAGGGTATGTCTCCTTATTATCATTGTCAAAGCAAAAAAAGAAAAAAAAGAAAATGTGATGTGAATATGTGATTCTCCAAACTATGCATCATAATGTATCAGTAAAAACGCTTGAAAGTTAGATGAAGTGACAGCTTGGATTTGCCGCTGGGTGGGAACAAGTATGAGTCTGTTTGCTCGTCTGTTTGAGTTTTCCCAGTGATACATGACTGACTTGTCAAGGACAAAGAGCTACAGTCTGCTGCGTTTTTTTGATAGGCTGTAAACCCAATTCAAGAGTTTGCTGCCTAAAGAACTGTGAAAGACAGAAAGGTGGGTAGAATACCAAATAGTTTGAAAGAGTTATTTGATAAAAAAAAAAAATGCTTTATCAAAACTAATTAACTGTTCTTAACATCTGGTTTGATATTTAAAAATGATGTAATTGGATTTTGTGATTTTACAGTTAGAAATAAAATACTAAATAAAACAGATGACATAATTACCGGTACAAGCTCACAAAATTCCAGAAGAGGAAACTATTTTCCTGTTCAATTGTTTTGAAATAACTACTTACAATGGGTAAGTACAGGGTAAAAAACCTTTAAAGAATTTTACTTCTTTCTTTATTTTTACTTGATCTCTGAAGTGATCTTGATTTGAAATGGGATTAAAGTGTGAGTAGTGTTACTTGACAATACTATGATTAAAAAGTACTGTACATCTACTCCTAAAAGTAATTTTTTTGTTACAAAGTTACCCAAGTGAATGTAACTGAATAAATAGATCTAGTTATTACCCCTTCTGAGAAAAGATGATACGATATTTTTTTTATTTTAACATATATTTGTGTATTTTCTTGGTAAAACTTAATAAAACATTCTATCTGGATATTCTATCTGGACAGTTACAAAAGGTTCTTGTTCCATAAAAAAAAAAAAAAATCTACTACCGTTAACTAGGCTCATTAGAGACTGAGTTTTGTTGTTTTTTTCTGCAGAGATCTCAGTAAGATTGGTTTGAGAGCTTCTCTAAGCCCCATGTTTCAACTCTTGCTATAGATTCTCAAATGGATTTGGATCCACCCACAGGGGCATTTATTCATGAATATGCTTTAAACCAGGGGTCA